CTTCTTCTGCTTCTTCCTTCTTTCTTTTTTCTTCTTCTTCTTTCTTCTTCTTTCTTCTTCTGCTTCTGCTTCTTTCTTCTTTTGCTGCTTCTTCTTTCTTCTTCTTTCTGCTTCTTCTTTGTTTTCCTTTTTTTCTTCTGCTTCTTCTTTCTTCTTTCTTCTTTCTTCTTTCTTCTTTCTTCTTTCTTCTTTCTTCTTTCTTCTTTCTTCTTTCTTCTTTCTTCTTTCTTCTTCCTTCTTCCTTCTTCCTTCTTCCTTCTTCCTTCTTCTTCTTTCTTCTTCTTTCTTCTTCTGCTTCTGCTTCTTTCTTCTTTTGCTGCTTCTTCTTTCTTCTTCTTTCTGCTTCTTCTTTTTCTTCCTTTTCTTCTTCTTCTTCTTCTGCTTCTTTCTTCTTCTTTCTGCTTCTACTTCTTCCTCTGCTGCTTCTTCTGCTTTTGCTTCTTCTTCTTCTCTTGGTGCTTTGCTTCAGCATGTCAACCCTCCCATCTGGGAGCCTTGGCTGAGGCTGTGCTTCTGGTTGCTATCAGCTAGGCAGAGCTTGAGATTTTGATAAACTGAGTTTTATCATTGCAGCAGTGAGGGTTTAATGCTCTTGAACTTCTCTTGGCTGAGTAGCTCCCATGGTTTTATCTCAAGTCAGGCCAAAGTGGCTGCTGCTGTCAGAGGCAGCGTGGGAGCCCTGCACCCATCCAGGAACATCAGCCAAGGCTCTGGGGGCCCTTCCACCCAAATTCCCACCAGCTCCTGACTTCCCACCGATTGCCATGGCATGCTCTGAGGATTTTGGAGGCTGCAGAGGGATGGTGTCCCATGGTGATATCCCTTGGCCACTAAATAAGCAGCTCAGCCCTGTTGTGTTAAAAAAATCAGATAAAAATAAAGCACGGAGTTATTCACATGTAGCAGAAAATAGATGTGGTATGTGGTGCCTGCCTGCAGTGCACTCCAGAGCTGCAGAGGCACTAGCTGGCACTTTGGCACCAAGGGAGAGCTATTATTTATAGCCAGCCTCACTAAACCATTCCCCCAAAGGGTTTTTTCCCCTTCCCTTTGTAGCATCACTGTCCCTTCCCTTTCCCCTCACCAGCAGCTCTGCGCTGATTGTGCCTGAGGCTGTAAGCAGCTCCTTTTTGTCTCTGTTTTAAAGCAGTTGCAGGGGCACATTCCCAGGAGGGAATTCAATCAGCGCTGTGCAGCCAGGGGTGGGTTTGATGGATGTCCCTCTGTGTGTCCCTGTGCTCCATCAGAGGTGGATGTTTGTTCCCAAGTGGGGCACCGTGCAGGTCATTTTTCAGGGCTCAGCAGCAGGGTTCTCTCATTGCCCAGCTCCCCCCACACCCTTACTTGTGCTTTAAGCCCAAAACCTGGACATTTGAAGTCCAAAGGCATTTTGGGTGGTCAGCAGAGAATAAATCCATATCCTTACTGATTTATGAGCTGCCCAGCAGGTCTTGAATAACTGATTTACCAGCACCAGGCACTTGGGAGGGTTCAGTGCCCCAGGGCTGAGAGGAGAGGATCAAACCTGGGAGGAGGAGGACGTTTTGCAGAGCTGGGGCTGCTCTGGTGGCAGCAGGGCTTTGGCAGGTGCTCTGTGTGAGGACAGGGCTGGTGATGCCCTTTGAAGGCTGGCCTGGAACAGAGGCCAGGCAGAGTTAAGGAATAAAGTAGGGATTTATTAAAAGGATTTCCTCAGTGGATCCACTTTGGGCAGCACAAGCGTCCAGCCCACGTGAATCCAAAATGGACCAAGATGGTCACAAAATGGATGACTGGTCACGGGGTCTCTCACTTTTATAAGTTCTGCTCCATTTGTATATTGGAGTTAATTGTCCAATTACAGCTTTAGGTTATGAATCCCATCCTGCTTGTTTTTCTCTCTTTATTCTGCCATTGTTTGTGCTCTTGGGCCTGAGATTTGGATCATTTGTCCTTGGTCCCCAGCTAGAGAAGGAATTGTTTTGTCTCCCTGCTCTGTGCAGAGAGCTCACCATCCCCTAGTATGAAGCGCAGACCCACACACTAAAGCAGCTCAGAATGTGAAAAACATCAAAGCTCAAACCTGAGCAGCAGAGCTGACAGCCCTGGTGTCTCTTGCAGCCCAGCACTTCATCGCAGCCACGGCGTGCCAGGAGGCTGACTACGGCGCCATGATCCGCCACTACTGCCTCAAGGAGTTCCAGCACAGCATGGAGGGCATCGGCCAGCGCCTCTGGTGTGACTGGGACGAGACCGTGGGGTGAGTGAGCCCCCCTGCTCCTCCCTCTGCCATTCTGGGGTTTGTCTCGTGGGGGAACACCCTGCTGTCACTGCTTGGCTGCTGCTGCTGCCCTGCCTCTGTCCCTGCTGCGTGCCCAGGGAGTTTCTCCAGCCTGGTCACACCTGGAGGGTTTGGAGGGGGGAGCAGGGGATGTTGTGTTCCCAGGCTTTGGTGGGGTTTTTGGCACTGTCTCCTGTGTGTGCTGCATGAGGTGGGTTGGGAATGCCGGAACAGCCAGGCCTGGGGGTGCTGATCATTGGGGTCACCTCTGTCCTGCATGATCTCTTCGTTTGTAATGGGTGATGGGACTGAGGGTAACCCCAGCACCTCGGGTGACACAAACCAGGAGGGTTGTGCTGCTGCCCACGGGGACCTCAGCAAGCTGGGAACCTCCTGAAGTTCAGCAAAGTCCTGCACCTGAGGAGGAGCAGCCCCAGGCACCAGGATGGGCTGGAGCTGCTCAGAGAGAAACCAGTCTCTGGGTTTGGAAAGCCAGGTGTCTGCTAAGGAAGGCAGGAACCTCTCTTGGAATGGAAAATGCAAACCTCCTCCCTCTGAATATTAAAATTCTGAAATGAAGGGGAGCTCTCAGGTAAAGATATGGATATAGGAATAACAGTTCTTTCCTAGGAAAAATAAAAATAAAATACAAATGCAGTGATACAGAACACCACTGCCAGAGCAGGAGCTGCCCCCCTGTGTGTCAGGGAGGTGGCACAGCCCCATGCCATGGTGGCTCAGCCCTCCTGCAGTGCCAGCTGTGGTTCTGCTGGAGCAGGGATCCTGCACAAGGGGGGAGTTTTCCTCTGAAGCTCCAGGGGTGCTGGAGATGGGCCTGGGCTCCTCTGGGAATGCAGGAGAGGAGAAAGCTGCTCCTCTGGGAATGCAGGGGAGCACAAAGCTGCTCCTCTGGGAATGCAGGGCAAAGGCTGCTGTGCTGTACAAACCTCAGATTGTATCCAGGTAGGAATGCTTGGCTCCTCCCCTGGGAGATAGATGATGGAATTTTATCAGCCATGCAGGGCCACTCACTGGCCATGGACAGAAGAGATCTCCTGGAAGGAGGATTGGTTGTGGAAGAGATAAAGAAAACTGCCCAATGACAGATGGGAATGGAATACACAGCCCCAGGCACATCCTGCATTTCCAACCTGAGACAATCAGAAAGGGACCTGGGGGTTCTGGTGGGCACCAGGTTGAACCTGAGCCAGGAAAATGTCCTGGTGGGAAAGCGTGGGCAGAAACTGAGGCGTGTGTCCTCTCTGGACACCAGGAAATGTGTTTTCACTGTGAGGGTGGCCAAACTCTGGCACAGATCTCCCAGGGAGGATGTGGAATCTCCATCCTTGGAGATACTAAAAACCAGCTGAACATGGTCATGAGCAACTACAGGGCCTGCTGTAGGTGGGCCTGTGTGAGCAGGGGTGTTTGGACAAGCTGAAGTGGATCTCCAGAGGTAATCCCCAGCCTCAGCCATTCTGGGATTGAAGGGATTTTCAAGGAGGGTTTGGAAGTCGGGGTGGTGGTCATGCTCCATCACACAGCAGTGGAGCTCCAGTAGGAGAAGAGACCATGGCCCTGCAGTGTGCTGGAAATCGATGGGTTAATGAAGAGGCAGACTGGGATCCCCATCATGGGGGCTCACAGCTTGTTGGACGCATTTTCCAGGAGGTTTTCCATTTTTGCTCAGCACTCTGGTTCTCCAGACAGTTCAAAACCCCATAACCCACTGAGATGTCCTCAGAGCCTGGCTGTGAGAAATCCCAAACTGTCCCACCAGAGCTGCTGGCTCAGCCCCTGCTTCACAAGTTGTGTGTTGATTTTCCCAAGCAACTACAGGGAGAGGCTGCAGTGGGATGGCAGTGGCAGCAGCCTGCTCAGCCTCCTGTTTGTAATCAGTGTCAGGGAGCCAGCTGTGATTTGACTTGGGAGCACAGGAGATGCAGCTCTGCTTCCCTGGTGGAATGCTTGGGGGCATCTCTGTGGGATGAGGAGGGTGGAAAGGGACACCCCACACATGCACTGTGAGGATTTGTTGGGTTTTTGGGGGGAATTTCCTTTGGCTTTGGTTTTATTTTTATTGCAAACAGTGCTTTCTTTGGATAAGCTCTTTCCTAATTTATAGTCAGCAGAGCTGAATGCTTTGGTACCACCACGGTGTAGATCTGCTGAGATGGTTTTGGTAGAAGCTCAAAGACTGGTCAGGGCTGGCTGTGTGTTGGTGTGAGGGCTTGAGAGAACAACCCCCCTCCTTCCCCCTTCTGCTGACTTTCCATCTTGTGCCTTTCCATGGCCTTTCCCTGGGAAAATGAAGTGGCAGAACAGAAACGAGCTCATGTGACAGCAGCAGGGCTGGGGGTCAGCTGGAGACAGGGATCAGATGGTGCTGTGTGCCACGAGGGGTTTGCACAAAACCTGAGAGTTTTGGTGAGATTTCTGTGGTTTCCTGCTTCGTGGCCCTTCTTCAGGGTGAAATCAAAACCTACACACGTTTGTGTATCCATCAAAGGTTGGACTTCAAGATCTTGGAGGTCTTTTCCAACCTTGATGATTCTGTTCTGTGACTCTAAACATACTGTTGGGATTTCCTTCTCCTTGATCCATGGCAGAATGTAGGGGAAGAAAAGAGAGCTGGAAGACTCTGGGAGGTTTCTGGTCTTGAGAAACCTCATCTGGTGCTCAGAAATGCCCAGGGCTGCTGATGTTGTTCCAGCCCTGACCATCTTGTTCTCTATCTCACATGTCCTGTTTGCCTCCTAAAGAGCTTCAGCTGAACTCCTTAGCCTTGAGGCACTTGGAGGAAATGTTGATAAGTTTGCAGGGTTTAATTTGATTGCCTGAATCCATTTGCTCCGTGCAAACACATGGCTCAGGGTTATTTGAGAGATGACATTCCTCTGATCCTCCTGTGCCCCCAGGACAGTGGGAAAATTGGGCAGAAACAGTTCAGTGACTGCAGTAAATCAGCTGCAAGGATGTGGGGTGTGGGTAGGCTCAGCACCTTGCTCCCTGGATGTGTGTGGGAATCTCCATCCCATTTTTGGGGAAAGGGAAGATGTCCCAGCAGGAGTGGGACACAGCTGGCTGGTCACCCCTCTGGCTCTAGGGGAAAGATTTTGTCTTCCACCGGGTGTGAGACAAAGAAATGGGAATGAAGCACTTGCCTAGAGCCTGTTCTCTGCAGATTTTCCCCCAAACCAAGGCATCTCAGTGCTTGAAACCTGTCTGAAACGAGGAGTGTTAGGAGGTTCTGCCTCTGTACCATCCCTGGATGCTGCATTTAGCAGGGAAATGCCCTAAGCTCCATCATTCCTGCTCAGTTGAGGATGGGAACATCTTGACACACACACAGAGAGACTCTAAAACTCAGACAGGATGAGTTTTAAAGTGGGTGTGCTTTTATTTGGCATGGGGATATCTCCACAAAGCCACGCCTGCCCCCTGTTCACTCAGATTTTCTTTTATCCCCTAGAATGTTACATATATATCAAGGTTCACAATAAATAATTTCCTGGCTCCCCTCCCTCTCTGCTCTGCATGCTAATCAGCTTATCAGTTGTCTCTGGGGGTCCTAGGGGATGAAGTAAAGTTGTCTTCCTCAGGGCTGACACTCTGACCCTGCTGCCTTGCACATGCTTACTGATCTTTTGGCCGCTGTCCAAGGCAGGAGATTCACCCAGATTCATCTGGTTTGAGAGGCCCAAGGAGCCTCATTATCTCAGCATCCTTGCATTCTGTATCCTGCTCTTGATAAACATCCTTCCCCTTATCAGGCATCCTTGCATTCTTCTTGCTGTTTTGCACGTATTCCTTTCCCTTCTCATGAGACCAAGGATGCAGCAAATATTAAGCAATGTCCATCATTTATGTGCCTATTCCTAATCAATACCTGCTAATTTCTGTGATTAATATTAATATAGATATCCTCTAGTTTCTGACTTCATGTTTCAATCTGATAAATGAATTGTCTCAGCACAGTCTGTAATTGTGGGTCGCTGGTCCTGTTTATAGGCAGCAGATGCTGCTCTGTGGATGGTTTTAGTAGTTGGTTGTAGGTTAAACAACTGAGTTAACAGAGAAGAAATTGATAAAACAAAGAAAGTAAAGAAGTTTTCTCCCAATAAGATAAAAAGTTTAGCACATAAACTGCTTTGTCTAATCTTCCCTGGGAAGTTTCTCCTTCCACTGCTCGCACCTCACCCTCAGAGGCATCAGCTGAGCTCCTGCTCCTGTCCTGATGCAGCCAGGGGCTCTCCCTGGAGCAGAGTGCTGGGTGAGCTTGGGTTGGGCCATGGGGACGAGCACCAACCCTCTGGGAAGGTTTGTCCATCCCCCTGAGCTCTGCTGGCTTTCTCAGCATTGCTTATTTAGGGAAAATGGATGGAGTTTGATATTCAAGTTCTTCCCGTGGGCTGAGGGAAGTTGTGTGAGCTGTTGCCACTTTGGCTGCCCTGGACTCACAAGCCAGACTGGAGCTGCATCTCGGGATGTTCGGTGGCTGAGCTCTGGCCAGGGGCTCAGCTGTGCCCAGTGCGTTATCCCAGAATCAGCCTGGCTATTTTGACTGCAGCTCCAGCTCCCTGGAAGCGGTGGCTGGGCCAGGGGCATTAGCTGTGGTGTCCCTGGGAGCAGCTATTTCAGGGATGTGGAGCCTGGGGCTGCCCTGCCCAGCCCAGTGCGTCAGCAGGCGCTGATGACTTGGGGATATTTGTCCTGCAGGGCCTGGCCAGGGAATGGATTTGCAGGAGGATTTGTGCACAGGGGGATGCTCACGGTGCTGAGTGCTGCCACAGCTGTGGGTGTCACTCCAGCCCAGCCAGGCATCTTCATCCCAAATATATCCAGGCTGTGGTATTCCTGAAAATCTCCATGGAATGCTTTCCCCGGAGCTGCAGGGGGAAAGGAGCTCACCAGGGGGATCATGGTGCTGCTCTGACAGCTGCAGCCAGGGATGGAGCTGCTCTCCCAGCTGGCAGCACACTCACACTCTGTCTTCAGGTTATTTGTCCATTATTTCCACAAAACAGATTGATCCATTCTCTTATTATCTCATTATCTGCTTATTTATCTTCAGCTTGCCAGGTCCCTTCTGGATACCCCTTTAGCCTGGCTCCAGGCTCACCCTGCAGCCTTGCAGCGGAGGAAATCAATGTTTTCCTTTAATTTGCAAAACAAAAGTGAAGCCTTGTGGTGTTTGCTTTTTTCCCTTCTGAAGCAAGGAATTGAGGGAGGATAGGAAGTTCTGGGATACTCGCTGAAAAAAAACAAAGCTGTCAATCCTGTGAGCCCCAGTCCAGTGCAGCACCATCCACATCCAAGTGCTGTCAAGGAATAAATGCCAGAGCCAATTCCAGCCTTGGCTGCAGTGATAAAAAGCCCCAGAGGAATTCCTTAGGATTTATAGCAGTATAAGCATTCAGATGCCATCAAACCCTAAATCATTCTTTGACTGCTTCCCAGCATTCCCATCCCCATCCTGCCTGCAGCCCTTCATTCCCTCACAGTCCAACCACAGCATCCTTTAAAGCCAAACCATTGCCATGGTGACAGGGACAACAGTTGGAACTGCAGTTCACTTTGGGTAGGGAAAAAATACTCCAAAGCACAGCCAAGCTTTTCAGGACCAGGTGTCTGTCTCCTGGCAGTGCTGGGATTGTTTGGGAAAACCTGCCCTCCTCCCAGTGCTATCCTACAGTGGCTGCTTCATAGTTTTGTGGAGGAGATGGTGTTTGGGAGATGGAGGCGTGCAAATGAGCTGTGGGCTTGTCTGAAAGCCAGAAGCTTGGCTCCAGGCAGAAAGGAAGCTTGGAGCAAAGTTTCTTAGGGAGGCTCTCCTGTTGAGTCAGGGGATGCAGAAAGGACCCCCTGGCCTCCTCAGTTTCCTGGGGTGGGGTCTGGGTGTGGCTGCATCCAATCATTCCCTACATAGCACAGGTGGTTATTTATATTGCCCTGTTTATTGAAACCAAACTGAAGCAAAGCTGTTAAAATGAGTAAAATAATTGTTGTGTAGAGATTGATGTCACCCATGTGGGCAAATCCTGACCCCCCCGTCTCCATCCCTCCGTGGGAATTCTCACAAACAGGGTAAAGTTCAAGCTGCTTTACCCCCACTGAGGCAGAGCATCCTCTCTCCAGAGAGTTAAACTCTGCCTGAGGCTCATCCTTGCAGCCTTGGCTCAGCTTTGTCCTGCTCAGTGTGGGGGATGTGGGGGGAACACAGCGTTCTGGGGTGGCAATAGCAGGGCAGGAAAACACCCCCCTCTGCCTGAGGGATTTCCCCAGAGCCCAGGCTCAATTCCCAGTGGGAGCAGGCTGGCCTGTGCTGTCACAGTAACGTGGCCCTGCCTGTGAGAGGAGAGAACAGATGCTGCTGTGCACAGGCAGTGGGACACGTTCAGCAGTGGCAGGAAGAGCACACCCAGGCCCAGGCAGGAACACTGCTGCTCTCCAGAGGGATCCTGATCCTGTCTGCCAGGGCACTGTGAGCAGCCTGGACCTGGGGTTAACCCTGGGTACCCTTCCCAGCCCATGGATCCCCTCTGTTGGTACCTGCTGTGGCAGGAGAAGGGCCCCAGTGCCCTGTGACTGGTGCATTTGGGATGGACAGGAGATGATGGAGGCTCACAGGGCTGTTGGTGGGTCTGTGAGATGCAGTGGGATAAATGAGAGCATATGGCTGCAGCTGAGAGCTCAGCTTTGCTTTTAGCTGCTGATGGATAGCAGTGCCCTGGTCAGGTGAGCTCTGTGTAACCAGGGGCAGAAACCAGCTCCTGAGGAGCACCAGCCTTGCTCTGCCCTGGCCAGGAGCTGAGGAGCCCTCAGTGTCACCTCTGCACTGGCACCTGTTCCTGAAAACATTTATTTTCCCTCTGGGACCCTCTCACTCATTCCCACTGCCCTCAGAGACCTGTGGGGCCAGAGGGTGAGAGATGCCACCCTGCTCTAATGAAAACAGCAAAAACAGAAGGGACAAGAGACTTAAGGTGTGTTAAGCCACCCCATTAAGGTGGAGGGACCCCCATGGCCACCTCCTTGTGTCCCCACGCTGCTGGTGGGGCTGTGGCTGCCCAGCCCCTCTGCTGAGCTCCATCCTCACATGCTGGAATACACTGCTGCCTCCTGGAAAGGGCAGTGCCAGTTTATCCTTCCATTTGCTGTCCCTGCTGGGCTCTGGTTCCTTGCATGCCTCACATGCACTGAGGGGAGCAGTGATTTATCCCCATGGAAGTGCAGTTGGAGCCAGGGAAGGGCTAAGCCAGCTGCACTATGGCTCTTCAGCTTTAAAAATAGCTTTTATTTGCCTGTTAACGCTTTCCCTCTAGTTCCTGAAGTTGCTGCAGCTCCTGAGATCTCCTAAGGATGCTGATGAACGGGAAATGGTAATTCTGCACACTGGGATGCTGAGCAGAAGCTGCTTTTAGCAGCTGCAGGCCCTGTTAATTAAATCTCTGGCTGTGTGGGCACAGCCTGCCCCAAAACCCCAAACCCCAGCTGAGGAGCTGTGCTGGGGCTGTCCACAGGGGCTGGGAAGCTGCTTCCAAAATATTTCTTTCCCCCAGGCAGGTTTTTAATTGGAGAGCTGGGGTTTGCTTTGCTTTGCTGCTCTGGGATTAGACGTGACTAATTGGGATGGGGGGGAAATTGTATCTGGGTTTTTATGCATGGCCACTTCTAAAGCAGGGGGGATTTAGCTGTCAACTTTAAACAGGGAAGGTTTAGATGTCATTTTTAAACAGCTTTAGCTGTCATTCCAGAGCATGGCTGGATGGCCTGGCACAGGGACAGTGGCTCTGGCTCAGGGCTGCTCCTGCTTTTCCAGGTATTTTTTAAAAAATGGAAAAATGGACTTGATGGTCACAGAGCGGTGGGATGGGCTGTGGGCCTGCCCAGCTTTCTCCCAGTTTTAAGCAAATTAAAGGAGATTTTTGAGTAGATTCAATGTACTTATTTCTGTCCCCCTTTGGAATGAGCTCACACAAGGTGGAGGATGGTGCTCTGAAGGCCAAGTTGGGACAGGTTTTCTGAAGGTCTGCTTTAAATGTGGGTCTGGCCTGTATTTTCTAATAATACCAGTTCAGCCAGGAAATGGCGCAAAATTTAACACAAACCAAACAAAAACTTCCAAACTTGCTTCTTGGTGTTCCTGTAAATACTATTTCTGTTTTCATTTCCTTCTGTAAATTAAACTACCACTATGTCACTTCATAAATGAAAATTGCTTTTGGCTGTGAGTGAGAACTTAAAAGTTGCCATCAAATGTGGGAATTTAAAATACCCTGTTACCTTTTTACCTCCTAGCTATGAACTCAAAACCCCATATATTTTTATATTTGGGTTATCATAAACTTTCAAAACCCCTCTATATATTTTTATGGGGCTAGTTATGTCCAGCTGCAAACTCAAAAAATGGCTACAAAATTTAAGAACACAGATTTGTAGCAGAATCTCAGGTATGAACTTCTGTAACAGAATACAAAATACTGTACAGGGAGGGGTATTGTATATATAATATATATTGTACAGGGAGGGATATATTATATGCTTTGGCATATAATATATCCCTCCCTGTACAATATATATTATATATAAAATATTTATTATATACACATTATATACAATATATATTTTAATATATATAACTATATATGTATAATATATACTATATATAGTATACTATATATGGTATATATAGTGTATATTTAGTATATATTCTATATAAAATATAGAACATATACATTATATCCAATATACATTATACATATTACCATATATATATTATATGCAATGTATACTATATACAATATAGAGTACATATACATGTATTATATATAATATATAACACATATATGATGTATATGACATATATATTCTATTCTACTCATTATAAATTACATAGTATATATTTTGTATTTTATATACACTGCATATAATGTATACAATACATACAATGTGTAATATATATAGTATATATATGCCATATATATACTTATATGTGGTATATATACTATATACATGTATATACTGCATATTATGTATACAATGTATACTATATATAATACATATATACAATATATAGTATATATGTACTATAGTCTACTATATATAGTATATATAGCATATATACTATATAGATAGCATATATGCTATATAGATAATATATACCATATGTACTATATGTATTGTAATATATATTATATATAATACAGATATGATGTATGTTATATATATGAGATATTCTATGCTATGCTATGCTATTCTACTCATTATAAATTACATAGTATACATTTTGTATTTGATATACACTGGAATCCCATACTGGATATTGCCCGGGGGGAGGGTGGCGGTGCCACCGCGGTGCCAGCCTGTGGTGTCCCCGTGTTTTGTTTTGCAGCACCTACGGGGAGCTCACCAACTGCACGGCGCTGATCGCCGAGAAGCTCGACTGCTACTGGCCCAACCGGCTGGTGGACGAGTTCTTCGTGGCCGTGCACAGGCAATACTTCAGGAACTGCTCGCCGTCGGGCCGGGCGCTGCACGACCCCCCGAACGGCGTGCTGTGTCCCTTCATCGTGCTGCCCGTGCTCGTCACCCTGCTCATGACAGCGCTCGTCGTGTGGCGGAGCAAACGCAGCGAGGGCATCGTCTAGGGGCGGGGAGGGACGGGCGGGTGTTCCCTGGATTTGGGAAGCGCTGCCGGAGGGTACCGAGCCCCGGCGGCAGGGACAGCATCGGCACCGCTGCTCCTCCGCCCGTGGGCCCGCTGTTTCCCAATAAATGGCATTTCAGCGGTGGGTGCTGGGCGGAGCGGGGACTCCGCGGGGCTCCCCCCGCACCGGCTCCGCTCCGCCTCTTCCAGCGTGTGCGAGCAGGGGAATTGTAAAGGGAAAAACCCCAGGGGGGTGTGGGGAGTTTGAAATCCTGCCAGCGGGTCTGGGGGCGCCTGAACATCCTCGGCTTCCTCTCTGTCCTATTCTGGGCTCCCCCCAGACGTGGAAAGGCATCTTCTCCCCCAGCCCCCTGCACAAGGGCTGGGTTTGCCTGGGAGCTGGGGAGCAACGCGGGGAGGCCGGTGGTGGGAGCGGGTGGTGCCCTGGGGCTACTAACAAGGAACGGGAATAAGGTGCTTTTCCTAAATAAATAAAGAAATACCTGAATTAACCAGGTGCCTGTCTCTGTGAAGGCTAAACTGAAGCCTCCATGCCCTCATTCTGTGGTGGCAGAGACCCCCAGCATCTATATATATCTATTTGGGGTCAGCTCCAGAGCAGGGAGCCTGGGCATCACCAGGGAAGGGATAGGACGGGATGGGATGGGATGGGATGGGATGGGATGGGATGGGATGGGATGGGATGGGATGGGATGGGATGGGATGGGATGGGATTGGGACCCCCAACCCCACCCTGACAGCTCCAGACCCCTTCAGTGCCTTGCTGGCTCAGGAAGGGGTTCCCTGAGGACACCCAGCTGCTGTTTACTCCTCACTCTCACATTTCCCAAAAACCCCAAAACCCAGTGGGATGCCCAGCCCTGTGCCTGGCCCACCCAGCCCAGGCCCCCTCTAACACAAATCAGTCCATGATTCTGGCAGAAGCATAGATTAGTTGCACCTATACAAATACACATAAAAATACATACAAACAAATATATATTTATGTAAATACATACCCCCACCCCCTTCCCCCCCAATCTCCTCATAAGAAATTCCATTTATTTTCCTGGACTGTGAGGTGATGAGATCTAGGATTCCCCCCCCTCCCCATGAGCACAAACCAATGCTCAGACCTTCTTGTACAATATTTAACAGTATCCAAACTTTATTATTCTGCTCATCTCCTCCAGGCAAGCAACAATACAGGGAAGGGGTGGGACAGGATTGTTGTGGGAGGCAGGGAGGGCTCTGATGGCTGCAGCTCTCTGCTCTCAGGGCTGCTGGTACTGGCACAGCTTTCCCTGGCTGCCCTGAGCAGCACCCAGCTCTGCCCTGCCCTGGGCACAGCCATCCATGGTGACAGCCCAAGCAATGGGGACTCTGTTCCCTCCTCGTGCTGACAGCACCAGGGTGCCTCTACAGCAAGAACTAATTTCTTACAGCAACCTGGTTGAGTTTTTGATTCAAGAATAATAGAATCCTTCTCATGCCATAAGCAAAAACCAGATCCTTGCTATTTCTGTGAGTGTTTTACCCCCTACCTTTGCTGATATATCTGTTTTGGCAGCAAAGATCTCTCACTGCAGGTGCCTGCTTAAAACACTGAGCTGTTTCTTGTTTCTCTGTGAATACTGTCTGCAGGTGAAGCTCTCCATGCCAATCCCTGCATTTCACTCCCTGCTTTCCAGGCATCCAGCAACAGCTACAGGAGCTGCTGAAGCTGCAAAGGAAAAGGCACAGGGAGAACTCAACACAGAAGTTTCATGCCTACAGTTTGCACCCCAGCTCTGCTGTGCTCTTGAGGGAGATTGGTTTCATTTCCTCAGCATCTGCAGCAGAGGAACAGCAGGAGAGAATGAAGGGGGAGTAAAACCCCAACAGTCAATGGCCAAGTGTCACACACACATTTGCTCTGCATGAAAGCACACAAATATTTATTTCCTGGTTTGCAGAAGCTCAGCTGGGCTCCATCAGCTCCTCTGTGTGCTCCCAGTGCTGGAGGATGCCCAGGGAGCTCTGGCACCTGGACTGAAGCCTCTCCTGCAGGCTCCCAGTGCCACCCAGTTCCTTACAGAAAAGGCACCTGCAGCATCACATCCTCCCAAATCCAGAAAGCCAAATGTGCACGAGTGGGGGAATGTGCTGTGGTTCAAGCTGTGTCCTTCCCTCCAGTGCAGGAATCCTGGGAACACAATTAGGTGCTCTCCAGGTAACAGTGCCTAAATTTACCTTCATCAGAGCAAACTGCATCTGATGCTCCCTCACCACATCTTGATTGGAAAGCCAAAGGCAGATTTCTTTTTTAAAAAAATCTCCCTTCCATTAATTTTTTCACAGAAATATATAATATATATATATTTTTATATATTTATATATATAATTTTACTAATACTAAACATGTACTTAAGTTACATATTAGCCTGTATTTCTTTTAACTACTTCACACAATGAGTAGAAACAAAAAACCAATAAACCTGTAGCCCAAACAGGGCCTGAAATTAACAAAGTAAAAATTCCAAACTGTGACAAAAACATACTTACATTAAACAGCATTGAGAACTTCAATACCAGAAGCAGAATCTCATTTTGCACTTCCACTCTGGCAAGCTCTAAGCCTCAGCTGAGTGATTCTGAGAAAAAGCTCATTTTGTTTTTTCTGCTCATCAAAGGCAACAGTTTAGTGATTTGGTTCACAGGAGACCATTTATTGCCAACTCGAAGTGTTCCAAAAACACACCACCTTTTCTGCTTGGGCTGTTTGGGTTTGCTTTTTTCCTTCCCCCCCCCTCTAGATTAGGCAAGAGTTTAAAAAAAAAAGTGTAATTACAATTTCAATAGTGACTTCTTTTAACTTCTCAAGCATACCTCATCAACAGGATATACAGTACAGTTCAGAAGAGTAAACATTTGTAAAAGGAAGCAGACAACTTTTTCAACCAACAGACACAATTTCTTGCTGTATTTATGCTGAACTCTCTCCTTTGAACATGGACAGGTTATGAAGTTAGTTTTCTTCTTCAGAACAACATGGACACAGGACTGGTACAAGCCAGGCTGCTTTGGCTGCTGCTGAGGTTAAGGACAGCTCTGGAGCCGTGGTCCTGCCATCCATCCATCCCTTCATCATCTGGCGTAGCGCTTAATGTAATCTTCCACTTTATTCCGAAAGTCCTCCTGCAGGGAAGCACAGCTCTGTTAGCCAGGCACAGCAGGGATGGGCTCACAGGGAAATGGGCCCCTGGCAGGAGCCCTGAATCCTTACAATGAGTGCTCCAAAGCAATGGAATCTAGGGGACACTGGGGAATCAAGTGGGGAAAATCTGCCATGACCAGCTGCAGCTTAGGTGCCTGTAAGAGCTGCAGTGAGGGACGTGGGACTCCAGGGGCTCTCCAAACTCCAGGGTGGTGGGTGACAGAGCTGTGCCCACAGCTGTCAGCTCCAGCTGCAGGCAGCCCTGGAGACCCTTTGCTTTTGGTTACAATGCATTATATATTTCTCTTTGCTGAGCATCTTAATCCAGCAAAACCAATCTATACCTTAACTATTATCTATAGCCTATCATAACTACTGTAATTACCATATTCATCTTACTGTTCTCCAATCACTAAAAGTCAGTGCATTACAGTTTAAGCTAGAAGTTGTTTTTCAGTTTTCTTGCAGTAGAAAATTCTGAGACCTTTTTTCTACTTGCAACATTTGCTGACTTGTTTGCCTGTGCTGTCTTTCTGCTTGGTAAAAACATCTTCTTGTTTGGGGTGGGTTTATCCTTTGCTCTAAGTCATAAAAACCCCTTCTAACTAACACACCTTTTGCCTTCTTGGTTAGCCAGCAAGACTGGCTCAGCAATTCTTTTCTTCTATATCAAAACTTGCTTCCATCTCTATTCCTTCTTCAGATTCTACATTCAAGAATCTTTCTGCTAAGCACACATATCTGTGAGACTTTCTTGTCAACCTTTCATCCTTCCCAACAGGTGCACACACTGCTTGCTATTTCATAACCTCTGTATCCAGGGAAAACCACAGAATTCTGGTAGTTTGTGCTTATAAAGCAAGAAGAAATTCTGACATGGTGTGATCCCTGTGCAAGCAGGGATGCCAGGCAGACACCACATTCCTGCCATGTTATTCTGTGCCATTCACATTCTCTGAAAAATCCCTTCACCCAGGATTTTTCTCCTGGGCAGCTGAGAAGCCTCAGAGAAAAGGAAAATAATTCTTATCTCATTTGCTCCTCCTGTGCTGTGCTCATGTGGAATGTGTTTGGGGATTGTTCACCCACAGGTGATTGTTCCATTGGGTTCTGCTGGGAGTTGTTTTGGCTCTTTGGCCAATCAGGGCCAAGCTATGTCAGACTCTGGAAAGTCAGGAATTTTCATTATTATCTTTTTAGCATTCAGTAAGTATCCTTGCTGTATTCTTTAGTATAGTATTTAATATAATATAGTATTATAAAGTAATAAATTAGCCTTCTGAGAACATGGAGTCAGATGCATCATTCCTGCCTTCATTGGGACATTCCCTGCAAATAAAATATTATTCTCACAGGCTGGTATTAAATATGTTCCACCCAAACACACCAAGGGCCTGTGCTCCAGAGTGCATTCTGCTGCATTTCCAGCTCTCATTTTTATGTGCTGCTGGAATATAAAGCAGGAAAACCTGGGAAATGTATATACTCACACCTGTTAAAAAAGAAAACAACTAAAAAACCAATGCATGCAGTAGATGAGGAGGTTTTGAAGACTGTCCTGGTACACTGGAGATGCCTGCAAGAGCAGAAAATCCTCTGCCAAGGCTCTGCTTTTACTGGGAAGGGCACAAAATCCCCCTGCCATGACCTGTGGGATCATAGCAAGGCTTCAAACAATGTCACTTGTCAGCTCCATGTCTGCCAATGCACAAAATGATGCCTTTCAAACACAGCCCAAGTGTTCTGGCACACACCACCCAGAGCTGGACATCACAGCACACCAGGAAGGGGCACTAATATGACCTTTTTGCCTGAATCAAGCTTCAAACACATCAATATTTCCCTGGCTCCACCAACACACTTCAAACACTTGAGATCAGCTCCCCTTGTGAAGGTTTGGGTTTCTGCTGCTGAGTGAAAGGATAAAGGTTATCCCATGGTTCAAATCCAAAAGGATCAAAGCAAATCTATGATCCATGAGAAACTCAGTGGTTTCACTTTTCAGCTGATCAGGTTGCATCACACATGTCCATAAAAGTGCAAAGTGCTTGGAATTTCAACAGAGTTTAAAATGCAGTTTAAGGCCAGAAATCCTGTTACAAACAGGGCTGCAGAAATCCCACTCCTCCTCAGGAACAGGCTGCCTGCTCTTTTGGGGTGAAAGAGCAGCTATTTGTGTCCAATATGGCACCTGCTAAAGGCAACAGTGTGTGTAGTGACTTTCTCACTCTGCTGCAAGCACACCCATTTCCACACTCATCCAACTGCATGCTGTGTTCAAAAATGCTGTATTTTAAAATGCCATCTCCACTGCAATTAAATTCCCAAACCCAGGGAATTCCAACCCATAGATGCAGGTTATGACGGCTGTGGTGGAAACTGTACTCACTCAGGGCTTCTTGCACATTGTTTCCTGTGGGAAATGGATTTGTAGAGAACTCTCAAAGCCAGACAGAAGGCTCACATATCTCTATATAAACTTTGAGATAAGGAATGCTGACTTAGAAATGCCATGGGGTAGGACAGACATTAAGAGAGAAATGGAACTAGAAACAAGTTTCAAAGGATGGCCTTGCAAATAAGGCTGGATACTTTGGAGACATAGAACTATGAAAGATGCATTGTAGAGGGAGCCACGAGGGGTAATTTTACATTATTGGCTTTAAGGCATTTACAGCATGGTGTGGCTAAAGCTGATAGGCCAAGAAACACTGACAGTGTATTGTAATTAGGAAATAGTTGAATGTATTGTAATTAAAAAATAGTTGGCTTCTGATTGTGATAACATGAATTATAACATCTGTATTGTCTCACCATTCTCATGAGACTGAAAATAGAATGAAAGTATTTAAATGCCTCTCAGTTGCCCCATTTCTGGTCAGAAAAGGGCATAATCCAAGAGTTTCCCACTCCTGTGTTTCTCCAAAAGATGAATGACTACAAGGAACTGAGCCCCCCTGGACACACACACAGAGCAGGGCAGTGCAGGCAGCTCAGAGCAGCCCTGGCTATTCCCTCTGTCCCTTCATGAGTTGTTACACAGGGAAATGGGCTCTCAGCAGGGAAGGCAGAAGGCTCCAGAAAGGCTCCCTGTCACTCCCAAGGAGCTGATGGTGTTGGCAGGATGCATTCACAGGGTGCTGTGTGTGTGTGAACAGGAGGGGCTCAGCCCAGAGCTGCAATGTTCCATCCTCACCTGCCATATGGCTCAGCACCTCCTCATTAATGGGGGGCACTTCTCTCTGGGCACAGCTGCTTATGTGCAACACTGAATAATCAGATGCAAAATAATTCAGCAGAGCAGGATGTACCCTGCATTATAAAGAGGCAAAATGCTGCTAGAAATGAGAAGGGAAAGGAGGATTCCTAACATCCCTTCAAGGATGTAACATGTCCCACAGAAAGTGCCCTCTGTGTTTAAACAAAGATGTTTTGTTTGTACAAAGAGGTTTCATAAATAACCATTACATGAATAAACATATAAACAGGGCAGGGGACAGTGATTTTAAAGGGATAAAGAGAAGGTTTCCTTTCAGTGAAAACTTCCTGCACACAAGAGAAGCACAGCTGCAAAAGGGAAGCCCTGGCAGCACCAGCCCCTCACAGTGCAAGGAGCCTGAGTGCCAAAGATGGAAGAAGAATTTCCCAAAAATGGCATCCTGCAACAATGGAAGGAGAGCCTCCACAAAGACAGCATCATTCAGAATCCTCCAAGCCATTTATAAACCCTTCATGGACACAAGACAGCATCATTCAGAATTCTCCAAGCCATTTTATAAACCCTTCATGGACACCAGGCAACTGTTTGTGATGCTGCCTTCAGGCTAAAATAGCTCCAAAGCCAAATTGGACACAAGAACTCAGGTGATTTTTTAAAGCTGGGCAAAAATTAAGGGGCTTTTGGCTTTGTTATTTTGAAGACAGATGCAGCAGGAGCCAAACCTTGACAGGTTGGCCACAGATGTGGTCTAAAATTACTAAATTACTAATTACTAAAAGCATCTGCTGTAAGTCCACACTGGGAGAGTGATCAGAGAGGCTGTGGACAAGGGCCTGGAGTGACAGAGAAGGGAAGAACGGCTTCAAACTGACAAAAAATAGGTTAAAATTGGGTATTGGGAAGGAATTGTTCCCTGGCAGGGTGGGCAGGCCCTGGCACAGGGTGCCCAGGGAAGCTGTGGCTGCCCCTGCATCCCTGGCAGTGCCCAAGGTGAGCCTGGACAGGGCTTGGAGCCACCTGGGATAGTGGAAGGTGTCTCTGCCATGGCAGGGGGTGGGATGGGATGAATTTTAGGGTCCCTTTCCAACCCAAACCATTCTGGGGTTCTGTAATTGTATTTAAGAGCACTTGGGGGAGGATCTGTAGAGCCTCAACCCCAGAAGAGAGTTCCACTGTGCCCTTTCAAGAGGCATGGTGAAACACACACTCAAGAACCAGGCACTGTTTCAAAAACTGACATTTGACCTGATTTGGCAGCTCTGGGAGAAGAGATTTCATTTTTTCAACTGTTTATACTACACCAAATTATGCTTATTAACTGCTTGTCTTTTATTAAGCTTTTAATTTGTAATTTGCTCAGTAATCCAAAGCAAACACAATATTTTGGTGACAGCTACCAGAGAAGCCTGGAAAAGTTCTGATGGAAACTTTCCCTAGGGAATCTTCTTTATTTATTTAAGACAAATTATGTATAAGCATTTCCAGGAAATAAAATTTTAAAAATAGATATTAAAAAACATCCAAAGTAGATTTAGCTCATTTATTAGCCCTAACATATTCACTAGTGGTACACCCTGCACTGTTTGGCCAGTCCCTGTGCAGTTTAACACATCTGTCCCCTCACTGTGATTACAACCATGATATTGTGATGAATTTATGATCTACCTCCCCATCCTTTAGATCCACAATCCTCTAAAATTCCAGTGAAACCAGAAAATGATCACAGATAATTGCTCCTGCCCTTCCCTCTTCTGTGCTAGT